AACTGCAGTCAGCAGTGTGAGAACACAGAAGGGTCCTTCAACTGCCTCTGTCAGGACGGGTTCACACTGGCTTCTGACGGGCAAGACTGTGAGCGTGAGTGCTCCTTCAAGTTCACAATAAATTCTATCAGTTTTAAACAGATACATTGTGAACGCTGTGTCATAAATACGACCAACAGTTTCTATTTTAGACTGTACTAGTAATGCAAATCGTAACGTCGAATGGCGGTTATAGCGGATATACAGAAACGGATCCTGCATAATGGTTTGTACTAGCACATTACTCTATATTACCTACATGTACTGTCAAAGAGAATACAAGTTTTGACCACAGGCATTGTTTATGAAGCAGGTAAAACGCTTTTTCTGCCACAGGAAAATGAAACTAAGGTAAGCCTATAATCCCAATGCTTACAAACATACACAGGAGATGATTACTGCATCACGTACCAAATATAGCTTTAGGACTATATTTAAGTAACAAAAAGCGTCACTATTGCCTGGATCATAATTCACTGTTACTGTTTGCAGCTGACAATCCGTGCAGTGCAGAAAATGACCCGGGATGTGACTCCGGCTGGTGTATCACTAACGACCTCGGTACGGCAGAGTGCGTCTGGTAGGGCGGGGTATGTGCTGTCATCTGACAACAGGACATGTGAAGGTATGTAGGAGGTACTCATCGTTTACGGACCTTCTATCTGCTGGCGTCGAATGTGCCAAAGACAGTACTGGGAATGTTTTTAATGCATCTGAAGAGCTCGAGGCAAGTTTAACTGCTCATAATCTGTCCTTTACGGGCAAAGAAGTATCGAAGACGAGTAGTTATGAGTGCGTGCGTATTTTGATATACTTGTATATACTATACATTTTATATACGTGTATATTTGTACCATAGATTGGCAACCAAGTGACTATACATGTATTGATTTGTTCAGCTGTATAGTTAGAAATACTTTAAAAGTACTTGAACAAGTTGTCAGATAAAACAATTAAGCTGGTGTTTTACGCCGAAGGGCGGTTATACCGATAAGGATACAATTATTATGAAAAGAAAAGGCGTAAATGTCGACGTTGCAAAATTAGATATCCTGCCTATCTGCCTATGTGCACAGGCCAGGTACTGGCCCCTTGTTCCCCTCCGTCAGGTTCCTCCAGCCAGCTCTATCAAGGGCAATAGTCTCTGCTACACTTAGGGTAATCCCTGTGTCACTCTGTATCTGGTCTTTCCACCTCTTGGGTGGTCTTCCCCAGGGTCTAGATATGATACTGTGAAGATATATCCATTTGATAATATGAAGATATATCCAGTATAATTTAATGCTGGCTCGTCCGCAGACTATGACGAGTGTTCCGCCGGTGGTCACCACTGTTCTCAGCTGTGCAACAACACCGCTGGGGGGTACAGCTGCTACTGTGGAGAGGGGTACTACACTGATGAAGACAAGGGCCATCTGTGTTTGGGTAGGGACTCCAACATAGATTGAAGGCAAAGATGATTCAACCCCCTAACACTGGCATTTTACAATATAATGTCTCGGACCTAATGCATTAACAAATGGACTCTCCCAGAATAATTCTTTATGTAACAGACATACAGCCACTGATGAATGCTTTTACAAAGGTTCTGACGATCCCTATGATGCAATTGCAGACGTTTGGCAGATACATTTGCATGAAAGAGACAGCGTACAAATGCATTCGCTTTATGTATCAACTACATTCAAATTAAGTCTTTTCATGTTCATGTATGTAGGTATTTTCATGTTCATGTATGCTTCCCAACATTGGCTAAAAAATCAACAATATTACGCGATATGTATTTTTTGTACATGTACGGCTGCCAACAGACATTGATGAGTGCTATGAGGGGGCAGACAACTGTACAGACCTGGAGACGTGTGAGAACGATCCCGGCTCCTTCCACTGTACCTGTACAGAGGACGCTGTACTAGTGGGAGACACATGCGTGCTTGGTAAGTTTTCTCTAATTCAACTTATTAAGGAATTGAGCCAGGATGTCTTTATCTTCTTTTCTCTGTATCAATTACTAGAGTTTCTGTACCAGTACTACTGGAAGACTGCCTTACAGCATAACACATAATTCATACACATACACATACACATACACATGCACATAGACTTATATTTACTGATAAGCGCAAGGCCATTGCATGCTCCTTATAAGCTACTAAATGTGTAATAACAACTTTCAAAGGTCTTTATGTTCTTCAAGCACGGGGCCAATAATCTAGGACTGCATGCAATCCCTACCACGTGCACTAGCATGTAAGTCAAATGTGCGTAGGAAAGGAGTGTCTTAAATAACAATGTATTTACAAAAAATCCATTCACCGAAACTGCACATTTGAATTGTTTCCATCTACCAGTGACTTCAACTCCAGCCGTGAAAATAAAAACGACCAGTCAGGCCACAACCTATCAGACTACCACTTCCAGCACATCTATGGAACAACACTCCAGCCTTCTTCAGACCACCACGACTTCTACTACTACTACTACTACTACTCCTGTAGCTCCCACCTCTACTGAAACCACCACACCCAGGTCTTCTGCAATGACTAGTACCCCGCGTTCTCCTGCCTACCGTGTTACTATCCCTCCAGCCACCACCAGCACCAGTAGTGTAACGAGCACCACTGTTCCCACTACCGCGTCCAAGTCATTCACTGCAACCGCTAGCATTGCTGCTTCCACTACCTCAAGCACCACTAACACTTCAACGACCATTACCGCTACTGTAACAACACCATCTACTGCCGCCACTATTCCCAATTCTTCCCGCAAACTCACTACGGCCACCGGTACAGTCACTGTGGTTCCTCTAGAGCCCGTGGAATCTACTACAGTAACTAACAATGCTCAGTCCGAAACTACTGGTAAACAATTTTCGGGTACTACTACCACCCAACCTCCCGATACACCAACCAGGAGTGAAGCAACTGATATACAACTGATAGAGGATCCAACTGCTCTGAGGCCGCATGAACAGAACACAGTGGTTCTGACCATTATGATGACAATAGGCGAGGTAAGAAAAGTCTTACGCCAAAAAGCAGTTACTCAAGCAACTGGATATGATTTTGAAAACGTCAGACGTTTCAGCTAGTATCCACTAGCTTTCGTCAGTGACTGAGAGACCAGAGGGGAAAACAGATTTATAAGCACAACCTATTGATTGATATGCAAATAAAGTGAAGCCAAATTTTTGGAAGTCGAAAAAGGAACAAAAGTCAGACAAGCCAAGACAAGATGATGCAAATTAGTCTGAAAGCTCCTGTTATACAGAACAGGAGCTTAAGGTGGTCCAGAAGGATAGCTGAGGCATATTTAGAAATACTACGAACTCTATCTGATATGGTAGTCTTTTGGGTCTATTTTTATAATTTTCTTTCGTCTGGTCACTATGGCCACATTTTGGCCGCCAAATTGACCGCCAAATTGTGCATTTTTTTCACGCTCCAGCCAGGCCCCAGTGGGGGTGTGCACATTATTTTTAAAAGCTACTCCGCCGCTCGACCAATCAGGCTCGCTGGTCATTACGTAAACTGAGAGCTTCACTTTCATAATTTTTGGGAAGGGAAAAGACACTGGAAAAGAGAGTTTTACTGAGCGTTTGATGTCAGTTGTTTGCAAAACGTTTTGGGTAAAAACCTGCCAAATGCAAAGAATAATAATTTTCTGAAAACACAAGCCGTTTCCATTGTTTATCACACTTCGTATCGGCAAAATGTTGTCAAGTTGCAACACACAACCAGAGATAAGCAGCCACACAAATCACCAAAAACGCCAGAAATAATCTGACAACTTCCTATATAAAAACATTCGACTGCCAAAAGAAACGAAGCTGTCTGCTTTGAGCCACAAGTTAGATCTTGGTTTAGTTATGAGCGGCCTGGCGGACCGGGTCATTGCATGCATAAAGAGCCGCGCTTGGTAGTTCATACTCGGCCGTCATTATGCGGCGTTATCCTTTGTGTTCTTTCATGATTTTCACAGACAACTCATTAAGTAATTTTCTACCGAATAAAAACGCGTCTCTACCTGTGCACTGTCTTATTATTCTGAGTTTGTATCGACTGCAACACGTTTGTAACTACTAAACGTTAACGTTACGTTCTAGTGAACAGACATGATAAGAACTACTAGTATTTTTTATAAAATCTACGTTTTTATTGAAAAATACGATACTTACAAACTTCAGCAGAATTTTTACATAATCTTACGGTAACTGCTAAAAATTAATCTTTTAGGATTTACAGCATACAGCAAATAGTAGCCGCTTACAAAAAAAATCAGTTCCAACAGATTTACAGAGATAGTCCGTACTTTTCAGATAGAACATAGAACGTCGTGCGTGAAAATTATTTCCACAAGTCTAGGACAACGTGCAACGTAAATTCACATAATCAACAAAATTATACTCGCTCATAATCTCATACCACGTCCGGGCAAGCTTTTTTCCAGGGCTATCTACTCCGGTATCGCGCGATAACTTTTCAGTGTTGTGATCTTGCTGATCGTCAATCTCCTCTGGGGGTAGGCCTAAAAAAACAAGTCCGTAACTCCAAAATACCCCGGCAGATTTTCTCCAATAAGGTCTCAGAATAGTCCATAAACCTTCATCTGCAAATCTACGTAGGATACGGCCGTGAAAAAGATCGTCTACCGGCCCAAATGCTGGCGCAAAGCGCATAGCTTTCTCCGCTCGTAAACAAGCCACGCCATCCGCCATTTTGGGTGAGTCACGTGACCCCTACTCGCGCGAAATCTTAGCGTTCTTTTTGGCTGTTCTTTTTACTGGACATATCCCCGGCCTGTTTTTCCAAATAGCGCCGCAGTAAGCTAAATACAGCGTGCTGACAGGCCAGTGACCCATTTTTCGGTGGGAGGGATGGGCGCCCTTGGAATGGCGACAAAAAATTGGCGATTTCGGCTCTTTCGGGCTTCAAAATGGACATTATGTAACCCCTACGACATATACAGCATTTTAAGAATGAAACTGTGGAAAAAATGTTCATGGAAAGAGACAAAAAGGTGGTATTTTTTGAAAGATAAGCTTATAAACTAAAATCGTATGCGAGGCCGACACACTGCGCCGCTTTATATGTTGGGGAGGGGTGCTGGCGCATGACACTGTTGACATTTACGAAAAAAAATTCATAAAAAATCAACACTTTGAGATATTAAAAAATGCTCGCATACGTTTGTTCCTATTACTAGTGTGTGCCTTTCAACAAAATATGGTGAATAAAAACCAAAGCGCTGGCCAGAAAAATTGATTTTTCTAAAAAGGGGGCGTGGCTCATAACTCGAGATGACGTCATGATTACGTCATCAAATTTTGCATAAATTATCATCTTGCACTAAGGTACTCACACAAAAAAAATCAATGACCATAGGTAATCCTAAGTAGTATTTTTAGGATGTCCCCAAAGTCCTCAGCCACCCTTCCATACCACCTTAAGTGTTGTTTGTTCTCGGGGCTGGGAGTGCCAAATCCCAAGTGCCGGAAAGATCGACCCGTAGCCCCCCTTCCCTGTTGAGGGTGGGGTTGTACATTCTTTCATATATTGCCTCTTTAACACCCCGTTCCCACCAGCGTGTTTCGCGGTCTAAGATATCCGTGGACTCGAGTTTGAAAGAGTGACCCTGGTTGTGTTGTAGATGGTGGAAAATAGCTGAGGAGTAACCGTTGGCACTAGGTCGGCAATGTTCTTTGTACCTTACTTTGAGCTTACTTTGTTCCTTTTTCGACTTCCAAAAATTTGTCTTCACTTTATTTGCATATCAATCAATAGGTTGTGCTTTATAAACCTGTTTTCCCCTCTGGTCTCTCAGTCACTGACGAAAGCTAGTGGATACTAGCTGAAACGTCTGACGTTTTCAAAATCATATCCAGTTGCTTGAGTAACTGCTTTTTGGCGTATCGTATTACCTGGATGTCTAACCTTCATCGACGTAAGAAAAGTCTTCCTTATTTGTTATGGGCGGCTATTGGACCGGACGGTATGACGTCATCACGCACAATGCAAACCCAGCATTACGTCATTCTGTCTCGGCCTGGGGCCTCCGACCGTGTCTGGAGCCGAAACCGGCCCACGTACCCAACCCATGACGGGTTTTTGCTGGGAATGGGCGCCACAGCGCATAGTCAACCTTTGGCTTCAGACAACTATTTTCCCATAACTTCATACCGGAGGTCCATGGCCGCGCATAACACAAAGGATAATTTACAGATGCACAGTGCACCCCCAGTTCTTCCGCGACCGGGGTCCTTGGTAGTGCGCGGTAAAAAAAAAAAGTTACGAAAGGGTTTTGAGGGTCCAAGTTTGAGGTTACAATTCTCTTTTTTAGCCTTCATTTTGGAGTGAAAATAATATTTTATTCCGTTGATTTTACCAACATTAAAGAGGTTGAAGAAACCAAACTCAATCTTGTAGCTGAAGAGATATGCTTACGTCCCATAGACAGTTATTCTCCTTTCGAATTATTCCACGGCAGAGACGGTCGCTAGACTTGAGGGTGTGCAGCTTCGAATAGAAACGCCAAATAAATTGGGGTGTGCTCCCTTGATTTAGTGCCCTTGGATGCTTTTCTAAAAGAAACAAAAACTTTTATACCATCAATTACAGACCCCCTGTATGACCACAACCGTATCTATTCTCTTCTGATAGTTTACTAATGAAGTAAGGATGGACTTCAAGAACAGAGTTGCTGAGATCATGTCGTCTCACTGCCGAAGGCTGGTGAGGGAAGAGCGGGAATGCCAAAGGAGAGATGGAGACAGGAAACGACGATCGTAAGTTCTGTGACTTTGTACTGTAAAAACTGTTCAATTGTACTGGGAACATAAGAATGACCATCATTCGTTAGATGTGCACACTTACAAGCATGTTTTGTACACGCATCTTACATGACTAGTTTTTCCCGCATAAGTATATAAAAAAAATCCAACAAAGGCTGTTTGGCTACTTTTACAATACATAACCATACCAAGTATTTTATTCCGTATGAAAGTTGCAATACCTGAAATAGTAGATCACATTAGTATGTGTAGTATGTAAGTGTCATTGCTGTACTCTTCTCCCTGTTTATCCATGACCTGTAATTAACTTGTTAGAGCACAAGCGTACAATAAAGGTCATTCATTCATATTTTCCTTCCCAAGCCAAATTTATAAGAAGAAGAATCTTATGCTTTGTTTCTTCAGGCCAAGCCCGATTGTCTTCACCCCTGCCCACGTGTACATCCCCGTTGGTTACCCCCGACAGTCCGCTACCAGAGACGGCATCCTGCTCGCCTTCTTCATCATCCGCCCAGACTCTGCCGACGACTTCCTTCCTTTCCCAGTCGACTCCATCATGACAGCTGTGACGAGCAACCAGCTACAACTACAGCAAGATCTGGGCTCCAAACCGATCATTAACATGTTGCCTTACGAACAGTATCTTTATGGCATCACTGCTTCGTCCACTGCAGACACAACGTGAGTCTTACATCACTGTCAAAATGTGCGTGTCATCAATGGAAAGTTTCCCTCTGAAAAATAATCATTGTAATTGCTAACACAAAAGAGTGAAGGTGCCCAAATTTCGTATTATAGATGGTATATGTCAAGCGAAGAATCTAACGCCTAGTCCGGCTCTATCTAGGAATGATTGTACTTCATGCACTCCAAATGCAAAGGTATCCAGTTCTGTGTCTAAGAAGCTTTCCTAGCTATATTTTTGCATACAAGTGGCTCAATTTGGGCTGCCAAACCCAGCATTTGAAAAGAGTAAGTGAGATTAACACACACCACTACCAGTGGACTAGTCCCCTGCTGTGTGGCCCAGGGACCACGAAACGGAGATTGGCGCCGTAATATGCGAACGTCAACTGTTGTGGCGATGGCTTTAACTTAACGTTAATTATCTCAAACAGCACCGATGAAGGCAGTCCATCAGGAAAGCCAGAAGAGGACGCCGAGTTCCCCGTGGTTGCAGTAAGCGTAGCTGCTGCTGTGTTGGCCGTGGTGGCTCTGGCGACTGCAGTCGTTGTCGGGTAAGTCTTCCATGGCAAATAACATTCTGGTACTTACGGTATCAATGAAGCTAGTTAAGCTTCGAATGCACATACTTTATACATGCTTGTCTTTACAGAAGCTTCAACATGGTTTAGATTTAGACAATCTTTCAGATTAGATGGTATCTCTCGTTAGCATTTAAAATTAGAGCAGCCACATTATGATTGTTTTTAAGAATTTATCGTACGATCATAATAACCTTTAACCTGTAAACATCATTTTAACCTGATCTAGCTGAGACTTCAAAAGAATAATTGATTGACGTTACATGAATACATGATATAACATCACATTGTAGGCCAAATCAACATTGTGCATATCCTATACATATATTTTGCAACACTGAAGCATTGATAAACTAAGATAGAGCTACATAATAAAAGAGAACAAAATCAGCAGTGTAATTAATAACATATGATGTCTTTGCTACCTGTTTGTAGTCTGAAGAAGAGCCAAACCACTTCGCACCGTGTGAGAGAAGCGCCACCTTACAGCCTGACACCGGCACTGCAGTACGACGAATCCGTGAAGTGTTTGAAACCAACTAAGGAAGTCTGGGGAACAGACAATCCAGTCATCACCATGGACAGCAAAGTCTGAGGGTTTCTATAATAATACATGGCATAGAAGTACCTAAATATTCATAGCTGCGTTGCATACAGCACAGAAGAGTGTGGCTTGCTTTATGTGTATACTCGTATATTCAGATTTTCTTTAAGTGACATTCTCGAAATATCACAAAGCATCATTATACTAATTCAAAGTGATTCTTATCTCGTGACATATAGCTTTTCTATAGTGGAATCGTTCTAACACGATACCTTTGCCCGTAGTTTTACAAACATATATGCGTTGTCTTCAGGTGAAATTGACAAGCAGGACAAAAGACGTAATCGATTATCAGACTACCAATTTGGAGCATGGATCATAAATCAAATTTGCGATATAATCCAGACTGATGATTCGTATTGTGAATTCATAATGTTTTTTTACATATCGGATGTATAGAATTGATGCATACTTCTTGCATAATATTACTAATGTAAAAGTTATGTTCTCTTTTTACAAATTAATACTTAGCTTTCATGTTTAACAAACTTGGTTGACAATCTTATGTCTACAGTTACATGAGTGCAAACACTTTATATGGGACATTATGACACAGAGTTCACATTTTAATGGACACCATGAGCAAAAATGAAGCATAAAACCTGTGAAATATCATGCAGCCCCTTTATTTCTTTATAACGATCACTGTACTTTATTTGAATAGAGCTGTGTAATAATCCGTGTATTTTATGACACCATCCATTGCCTTGGATTGCGATGGAGATGCCGGCGCTAAGCAGTTCGAGAATGTCTTACTCGGTTGGGTTAAGGCGTCCTAGGCTTATGGGAAAGTAGTATTCTATACTTATGCTTGTAACTTTTAATAGCTTGGTCGCACCGCGACGAAACTTCACACAGTTTTAGTTGTACATGAAACGCATCGAATAAAGGGTACTTCAGTTTTTCTACACCTGGATTTTGGGCTAGAAATACCGTTTATTTCATGAATTTACGCACAGGCGGTAATAACACCTTCCATCGTAATATTTTACAAGATGAAAGCCAGCCCCATACAGGTTATTTCTGTCCGAGGCTATTTTGTTTAAAATGGGTATTTTGTTTTAGTTTTGGGTCAAAATCACAAGAAACAGCAATTTTCAAGATGGCGGCCCTGAGCTAGGTGTGTGATTGTGTGCTCCAAACAATTTCGACTTTCCACGCGTATTTGACCCACGTGGAGCTCGAACTGGTCTCTGCCTGTTGTGGGCCGAACTCTTATCGAGATTTTTAGGATGGGTAAGAGAACTAGGCGCTCGAGGGGTTCTAGTAGCGCAGATGAAAGTAGCACATCTCTAAAAAGGAGCAGCCCCCCACCCAAGACACTAAAGATGGCGTCGGCTAAAGGTAGCGAGGGAAGTTTGCAGTCTCTGTCACCGGAATTACAGACGCTCGCGCAGCTAATCCTGAAACAGACTCAAGAGCAACAGGAGACCCTTCTAGGTCAGTTTCAAGACGTCGGGGAAAATCTCTCGAACCAAATTCGCGCTCTGGACAACAAAGTCGAAGGGCTGTCTGCAGACTTAACCAAGTTACGCGTGCGTGTGGGAGCCACCGAGAAATTCCAAAAAGCCGCCGCGGAATTCCAAAAAGCGGAAATTCAGGATTTACGCAGTGCTTTGGTCGAGGAACGCCGCGAAAGACTGAAAGCAGACCTACTGGCCGAGCGGTACTCTAGGAAAGCGGATATAATCATTCGGGGTCTGCCATATAGCCAAGACGAAAACTCGGAGCAGATATTTGCGGGATTCCTGACCGAAAAGCTTCACCTGGATCCGGTACCGTTTGCAGCTGTTCACCGACTCTCGAAGCCAACAAAAACACGACCAAACCCACCCCTGCTTGCCAGACTCCTAAACTTTAATGATCGAGACCGTATCCTACGGGAGGGAAGGAAGTTACGTGGAAACAAAGATGGCTTGGCGGTTTATGAGCATCTTCCACCGCCTCTGCAAGCTGCGAGAGCCAACCTAGTTCCAGATCGAGAAGCTGCGCTAGAGAAAGTTAAAGGTACGGATACTAGAGTGTCGATATGGGTGCCTCCAAAGGCTACCACGGCGGTCTGTCACCACGGTATTCTTTCCCATTGGCGGGGGCGTTCGATAAAGTATCGGGTTACAAGACGCTATTTTGGGCTAACCGTAAAACATTTGAAAATAAACAAAATAGTATCGAAGGGAAATTTTTTTTGAAATAAAATAAAAATATCGTTTTTAGATACATTGAATGGTGATTTTTTGCGCAAGATGTGTGATTTTTTTTGATTTCGTTAGAAAAGTCGATAATTTTCGGGATTTCGGAGTGCCATATTTTAGCCAATCAGCGTTTTAATGTGGCTACATATATTACGCAAGATTACTGATTTTTATATTTTTCGACGACTAGGAATAAGATGAAAAATCGTGTTTTAGGGATTTTTTAATTTCAAACTCTAAGTATAGTTTTGGTCGACAAATAGGTGAAAAATTTGATTTTTTTGGCATTTTTCGCACATAATTACCCATAATTCAAAATCAAGCGCATTTTTCAAAAATCCCTAAAACACGATTGTCGGGAAAGCCGTTACAGTCATTTTGAGCCGTCAATGAGGTAGGTTGGACTCTCCATGCTTCCAGGTTAAAACGAGTTTTGCAGGCATGTCGCGCCGTAAATTACGCGGAGGTGGTTCTATACTCCGATTCGAACGTTCTACGCACAGATCACGTTGCGCTGTGCATAGCTTATAGAGGAAACGTTATTTGCAGTATTATTTTACCGACTCTGTTCTGAATTACTGCGTACAACCAAGGACATTCTAGAATGTTCTTGGTGCAACATGATAATTAACCCGGTCACCAGACTCTCGCCATGTGGCATTTTCCTCTGTCTCAGCAGACAGTCGCGCAAACTTTATTCCTTCGGGGATACACCCAGCCCGGTACTCTCCAAGCAGAGGTTTGAGTTTGGGGTTATTTTTCGCGTGTTTTTAGACATTTTTTATCGGGTTTTCTCTTTTGCACTGGAATTTTCCTCTCACCCAACTGGGTTGGGTGAATAAAAAAAATCCAGTGCAAAAGAGAAAACCCGATAAAAAAGCCTAAAAACACGCCCAAAATAACCCCAAACTCAAACCTCTGCTTGGAGAGTACCAGCCCGGGCGCTAAGCTGAGCCGGCGGCGGCACATGTAAGTTACATGTTGCACCGCCGGACCCGGGGAATTTATGCCCAGCGAAACTGCGAGCGTCTGCAATGACCAGCCAGGTTAATGTTTTCGTTTTAAATTATGATCAACAGTAGCAGCATTAGTAGACATGTGCTAGTGTAGTTGGTAAACTGTGTAAACTTCATGATATCCTGGTGATAACACGTTTGATACAAGTAAATCAACTGCCCCCCTCCCACACTAGTATTTCGCCCTTTTGAAGTATACATGTAAAAAGATCAGATTTTTGAAAACAAGCAACACATTTCCGTGCACTATAGACACACTCGTTTGTTATTGAAAGTCATTGCGCCTGGTAAACCATGTTAGCAAAGTCAATTTGTACCATTTCTCCCATAGAAGTGATTATGACTTTCTACTAAGTTAATTTTGTTGTGGATTCGAGGCATCAGCTGTACTATTTAATCTTACACATCTTTAGTTGGTTACAAATGGTTAGTTTTGAGATGGTCAGTGTAATCCAGTGAAATGTCACATTGTATGTCAGCAAAATCTTTTAAAAAATAAATAGCAATAATAAAAAGTTTGGTCGTATATGATAAAGAACAAGAATCTATGAGTAAGACTGTATTTGACGAATGTATGTAACTGTGCCATAATTTCAAGCCCCTAACTGACTCAGTCTAATGGGTCCTGGACCTTTTTTTAACACGCTGACCAGTACATAAGCTGGCTGCATGACCAGACAAGGCGATCGATACAATGTTGTCTATTTTTTCTGCCACTTCCATCTGCAGCAATTTTTTAACGAATAACTGACTGTGATTCAAGACATCACAATCAGACAATAATATTAGGCGTTTGGGCCAGATGTTTTTGGAAATAAAATATTAGTCATGATAATATTCAGAAATCCAAACTAAACACAATAAAGAACAATTATGTTCGTCCCCATCTAATTGGCACACCAACCATTCCTCCTACTGAATACACTTTACCTTTTTTTTTAGCACATTGTACATCTGAAAGTTGCCTAGCTTCTCTCCTGTACGGTGTATCAAGGAATATCATTAAGGTATGAGAAGATTTGGACTTATATATTGTATGTAACATAATGCAGTTGCTGTGGTGTAGTGCTGTTTCAGAGTAAGTGACAGTTGCACTTTTTATTATTTTATGCTTTGTCAAATAATGTGTAACAGGTCATTTCAGTTGTGAGCAGTTAAAGAATGCAACAAGAAAATGGTATTCATATCCTGGTTCCATTTGAGTGTAGTATACATGTATATATTACCAGTAGAGTATTTTAGAATTATTGGAACCAGTCACCTAGAGTCCATGATGTCTTGATTAATGTTAAAATTACAGTAGTACGTACATATATTATACATTGATAGACTTGAATTAAAAATCCAACTGCCCCAGTGGAGAAGTCTTTACAAAATATTGTCAGGTTCAATGCTAAGACTTTGATTGCTTTTCACTGACTACAATCGTGTGTTTTTAGGGCCTTTTAGGAGGACAGTGGAGATACAGACAGAATGGAAGACCCAGAGAGGTATATATGTTGCAAGCAATTTTCCTAACTTACATGCATAATATTATGACTTCTCAATGATTGCAGTAGCATTATCAGTTTAATGGTTGGATGGTTTGATGTCATGTTTGATACAAAAGAGATTCATGATGACAATCAATGTTGAAAAACTGATAAATCAATCACTCGGGTCGTGATTGCCCGTGCCAATCAAACAAATCTGTTTTACTGTTACGGTATCCCATCAGCATACCCTGTGATTCATCAACTTCAACAGTTCAAGAACATATGTTCCATACTAATACAGAAAGTTCTTCCGTCCAATCAATATAGCAGTAGAACAAGTTTATAATGCCATTATTACTTACATGGGAATAATTTTTCTTGTTACCCTAGAATCAACATTTGATTTTGATTACATGTAGTTTGATTTTATTGATTTATTTTTTACCAGAATTTTGGACAATATTCCTAAGTGCAAAAAAATGTGCCCCAACCCCATTTGGAATTTAAAATAGAATGTCACTTACCTTGTAGTCAAGTTGGAGAAGCTCAGTATGTAACAGTAATAGTATTGGTACAGGCCTTAGGATAAAATGACTGTGAAGATGAAATTTGGTTCACTTAATATAATATTTACATGTATGACCATGACTATCTTTTTGGTATTGTACCATAAATTTGAGGTACTTGATCTACAAATCTTAGTACAATCCCCTCTAAATCTTCAATATGTCACACTTACTGGCCTCTATATAGTGTACATTCTTTCAGAAACAAAATATCAGTACCCCAGCGATAACCAGCTCAGGTCCCGCTCACTCACTGCCATGTTAGACGTTTTTCAGTGCATCAATGTAGTGTAATATATATACTGTACCATTGCTCAGATTTCTGGGACTGAACTGTTTGCAAATTGTGTTGGTAAATTGCTCAGGACCAATCATCAATCCATTTCCACACCAATAAATTGCTTTTCTTGCTTCATGTTACATTAAATAATGCTTTTTGATGTACAAGTACATTAAATATAATTGTTGCTTTTGAACTTTAAAGTGCTGTTGGAGTCATGAGGGGTAACCTATGCCCATTTTTTCCCAACAATTTTGCATATTGATTTTTCAAGTTGCATGTACAGTACATGCATGTAACTGGAAATAAGTATATTGAGAGCACGACACAAACTAGCATAGACTAACTGTCAGGTAT